TTGTCGTTGTGGTCGTTGTGGTTGTTGTTGTTGTTGTTGTTGTTGTTGGTTGTTGTTGTTGTCGTTGTTGTTGTCGTTGTCGTTGTCGTTGTCGTTGTCGTTGTTGTTGTTGTTGTTGTTGGTGTGTTTGTTGTTTGTTGTGTGTTGTTTGTTGTTTGTTGTTTGTTGCTTGTTGTTTGTTGCTTGTTGTTTGTTGTTTGTTGTTTGTTGTTTGTTGTTTGTTGTTTGTTGTGTGTTGTGTGTTGTTTGTTGTTTGTTGTTTGTTGTTTGTTGTTTGTTGTTTGTTGTTTGGTGTTTGCTGTTTGGTGTTTGCTGTGTGTTGTTTGTTGTTTGTTGTTTGTTGTTTGTTGTTTGTTGTTTGTTGTGTGTTGTGTATTGTGTTGTTTGTTGTTTGTTGGTTGTTGGTTGTTGGCTGTTGTTTGTTGATTGTTGTTTGTTGTTTGGTATTTGTTGTTTGTTGTTTGTTGCTTGTTGCTTGTTGTTTGTTGTTTGTTGTTTGCTGTTTGTTGTTTGTTGTGTGTTGTTTGTTGTGTGTTGCGTGTTGTGTGTTGTGTGTTGTTTGTTGTTGTTTGTGTTGTTTGTTTTGTGTGTTTTGTTTGTTTTGTTTGCTTTGTGTGTTTTGTTTGTTTTGTTTGTTTTGTTTGTTTTGCTTGTTTTGTTTGCTTTGTTTGTTTTGTTTGTTTTGATTGTTTTGGTTGTTTTGTTTGTTTTGTTTGTTTTGATTGTTTTCTTTGTGTTGTTTGTGTTGTTTGTGTTGTTTGTGTTGTTTGTGTTGTTTGTGTTGTGTGTGTTGTTTGTGTTGTTTGTGTTGTGTGTGTTGTTTGTGTTGTTTGTGTTGATTGTTTTGTGTGTGTTGTTTGTGTTGTTTGTATTGTGTGTGTTGTGTGTGTTGTTTGTGTTGTTTGTGTTGTTTGTGTGGTTTGTGTGGTTTCTGTGGTTTCTGTTGCTTGTGTTGTTTGTGTTGTTTGTGTTGTTTGTGTTGTTTGTGTTGTTTGTGTTGTTTGTGTTGTTTGTGTTGTGTGTGTTGTTTGTGTTGTTTGTGTTGTTTGTGTTGTTTGTGTTGATTGTGTTGTTTGTGTTGTTTGTGTTGTTTGTGTTGTTTGTGGTGTTTGTGTTGTTTGCGTTGATTGATTTGTTTGTTTTGATTGTTTTGTTTGCTTTTTTGTTTTGTGTGTGTTGTTTGTGTTGTTTGTGTTGTTTGTGTTGTTTGTGATGTGTGTGTGTTTTGTGTGTTGTGTGTGTTGTGTGTGTTGTTTGTGTGGTTTGTGTGGTTTGTGTGGCTTGTGTGGTTTGTGTTGTTTGTGTTGTTTGTGTTGTTTGTGTTGTTTGTGTTGTTTGTGTTGTTTGTGTTGCTTGTGTTGCTTGTGTTGTGTGTGTTGTTTGTGTTGTTTGTGTTGTTTGCGTGGTTTGTGTTGTTTGTGTTGTTTGTGTTGTTTGTTTTGTTTGTGTTGTTGGTGTAGTTTGTGTTGTTTGTGTTGTTTGTGTTGTTTGTGTTGTTTGTGTTGTTTGTGTTGTTTGTGTTGTTTGTGTTGTTGTTGTTGTTGTTGTTGTTGTTGTTGTTGTTGTTGTTGTTGTTGTTGTTGTTGTTGTTGTTGTTGTTGTTGTTGTTGTTGTTGTTGTTGTTGTTGTTTTGTTTTTGTTTTGTTGTTGTTGTTGTTGT